TGTAGCACCAGACAGTCCCGAGGGACTCGAACAAGCAGCCCTTCCAGACCCTCCCGAAACCCTTCGAGATCATGGACCTTTGGTCAGAAGGATCAGCATCTTCGCAGGAGTGAGGTGTCAGGATTTTCAGGCCTTGGTGGACACCGCTGCGGAGGATGCTGTGTGTTGCAGTGAGGCCTTTACGAGAATGGAATCCAGTTTGAGAAACTGGAACCTTAGGCCTCGTGTGGTGAAATCGGCAAGGCATCTGCCATGCGCCGGCATTGGAGGAGAGGCGGAGATTTGCAAGGTGGTGGACGTTCCGACCAATGTGGCAGGTGTGAACGGCATCATTCGCTTCACGGTCATCCAGGACTCGGAAGCCTTCCAAACTCCACCCCTCTTGCCGGTCAGCTATACCTGGAGGCGGTTCGAGCCATAGTGAATTTTGATACCGGCAGGCATCACCTTCCGGATGGACGATCCGATCAGATGGTTAGGTTGCCCGCCGGACATCGGGCAATCGACATCCTGAATTTTGGCACGTGTGCATGGCAACTGCCAGACAATTTGAGAGATTCGGAAGGTCAGGATCCTTATGCACTACCTGCCCAGCACGATTCCGAACATCCAGGACGGCGCGGCTCCAGATCCAGAACACCAACGAGGGCCAGATCTCATGCAGAACAACCTCAAGGTTTGTCACGCTTCTTCGCAACCAATCCATTTCTGGAGGTTTGGCTGAGAGACAAGAACAATCGCGTGGAGCGCGTCGCAGTGCTGCCGGGATGGCGACGGCATTTGCCGACTCCGGCAGAATGTCAGTTGGATGCCGAGAACGAGGAGCACGTCAAGACCAAGAACAAGAGGTCCCAAGTCAAAAAGTCCAAGGATCCGGACCGAGAAATCCCTCAGGGCATCGGAAAACCACTTTCGAGGTCGCTGGCACAGAAGCACTGGGCCCTGGAAGTGAAGGAATGCCAACATCCAGCGGAACACCTACGGTGCAGAGCCAATCGTCACGGCTCGTGGTGGACATGCCTGTTGTCTGGGAACGCCAGCGAGCGCCTCATCATCAAAGGCACCGGAAGCTCCACAAGCCCAGAAGCTGATGGTCAAGAAGGGCGTGGAGTATCCTCAATTTCTGCCAGCGCCAAGCTCCCGTCCGGAGCAGGGAGATTTGGAAGTGACCATCAACCGCATAGGCAAGCCCGAGGTTGCGACCCACAAGAAGCACAACAAACACGAGACGTCGACCGGGGACAACTTGAACCAGAAGGACGCGGCCGACCTGAAGACCTCCGGCCCGATCAAGGATCCCAAGCACGCCGACACTCAGGTCGGGAAGGAGAAGGTCGACGAGGACAAGAAGACGAGGCGCCCATGGCGAAATGTCTTTTGGCCCAGTGCGGCAGAGTTCAAGCAGGTCTATGCCATATCCCTTTTCCAATGTGGAGTGGCCAACTGCAAGGTCAAACACCACGCTCTTCGAGGTCTACGACCAGAACATGGAGACACAGGATGGAGCCAAATGGTGTGAAGATCGGATTCGCGGCGCATCACATGCCTTTAAGTTGGAAGATTCTGCGTGCTTCTTCAGCAACAAGGACAAGCGTTTCTACTTGGCCAAAGCGAAGGAATCACCTGGACAGGTGGAATTCGCAAGTTGCCGAATAGCGAGAAGTAAACGTTTCGACAAGCCAGAGCCAAGGATTTCAAATCTCTGACTGACAGCGGCGCGATCACTGTGCTGTCAATCGAGGAGAGCTTAGCCTTCACGCAAGCACATCCTGAACATGTTCTCACGTCAAGGTTCGTGGATCGATGGAAGCCGACCGAGGACTTCGCAGTGTTGCCCGAGGACTTCAATGCAGCAGATGTGGGTTCGGGACAAACTACCTCGGCGGCCCCCAAGTCGCGATGGTGTGTGGTTGGTTGGAAAGATCCGATGGTACATCAGATCGAACGCTCAGCTCCCACCCCGATGACTTCGAGCATGTATCTCTTCATGGCCTTGACCGCAGGAAGGCAATGGAGCGCTTTTGTCAAAGACGCCAAGACAGCGTTCCTCCAGTCAAAGCCCACTACGCGCAAGCAGAAGCTCGCGGTGAAGCAACCCTCGGATGAGGCACTGCCCGGACTAGACCCTAGGCAGTTGCTTCTCCTGAACACCGAAATGTACGGGTTGGTGTCAGGACGGGCGTGGTGGAGAAGGACATTTCTGGAGGTTTTGGTCAAGGAGTTGGGATACAGGGTCAATGCCTACGACAGGTGTGTGCTGACTTTGGACAACGAGTCAGGCATTCCCGGGCATCCGCCCGAGGGAATCATCGTGGTGGAGGTGGACGACATTTTGGAGTCCGGAAACGAGCGACGCCGCAAGAAGATGGCTTGGCTTGAGAAGAAGTTGAAGTTCGGCAAGATCATCAACCTTCAAGAACATCCAGAAGGCACTGGTTACGCAGGTCGCAGGATCATGCAAGGCCCAGATGGTTCTTTTCAGTATACCATGGCGGACTAC